CATCCTATCCTCAAAAGATTTTTGAGGATAGGATGAGAAAACAGAGGTGATCCGTCGACTAAGCCACGGTAGTAGGCTATTGCGGCTGTATACACTTTAATGGACGACGGCTTCAGTCCGGAATGGTGCAATTCCAGGAGGAACTGAAGAATCTGTTGAATGGATGAGAGGAATGGAGAGAACGAACGCGACTCGGCAAAGGTGGAAAAATGTTTCCATTTAGCCTTATATGACTTCCTTGTGGACGGCTTTAAGGCAGAGTCGATGATATGCTGAATATCAGGGTGCAAAAACGTCGGATTCGACGGGTCTTGTCTCGAACCGGATAGTACAGAGAGACCAGAGAGGGGGGAAGCAGCTGAGTGATTGTGTTCAACAATTGGATCCAAGGTGGTTGAAGTCATCATCGGTACCAACGGATTAGTAGAAGCTGTCGGATTCGTAACTTTCGAAACCGTCGTCGGCACCGATGGAACTTCATTCATCGAATTCGCCACGCTGTTAGGTTCAATGAGAGCAAATCCGGGTGGCGAAGTGTGCCGTCCACCTGTGTTATAAGATTTGGGAGCGATGGAAGATGAAGAAATTCCCCGCGAGAGATGTCGAGTAGTTTCACAAACCACGCTTGACGTGGCCACCAAGGGGCAACTAGTATCCCCGATGCTCGGTCGTGCACTATCTTTGCTATGACCCTCATCAGAAGAGAGATCGGAGGGAAGGCGTAGAAGTTCATATTGTTCCAAGGGATCATGAATGCGTCCCCTAGGGATGCGTGTCCGATTCCCGCTCTCGAACAGTAAGCCTCGCACACCCTGTTCTGTTGGGTAGCGAATAAGTCCACGTCGGGAAACCCCCAGCACCGGAAAAGGTGATTGCGCGTACGGGGATCCAGTTCCCACTCGTGAGAGGTGAACATGTGCCTGCTGAGAAGATCCGCCTGCACATTGTCTACACCAGCTAGATGAACAGCCATCAGCGTGATGTGTCTCCAGATGCACCAGTCCCAAATTTTCATAGAAAGTCTGGCTAGAGTCGGTGACTTTGTTCCCCCTTGCTTGTTCAGATAAAAGACGGTAGCTATATTGTCCGAAGTTATCTGAACGATCTGATGATGAAGGATGTCCTCGAAAGAGCACAGGGCTTTGAAAACTGCCAGTAGTTCTAGGAAGTTGATATGATTTGTGGATTCTAGATGATTCCACGTACCCTGGGTAGATAGGCCGGAGCATATCGCTCCCCATCCTAGAAGAGACGCGTCGGTGCCAAGGGTTATCGTAGGAGGTCGCGCCCTGAAGGGGACTCCTATCATAAGATTGGTCTGTTCCAACCACCAACGCAGAGAGTGAAGCACAGAAGTTGGGATCCGAATCAGTCTTGACTGCGGATCTCTTTGAGGATGGTACACCTTGTTGAAAAAGAGTTGCAGTGGGCGAAGCCGAAGCCTGGCATATGGAACTACAGCAACTGAGGAAGCCATATGCCCCAGGATCCTCTGGATAGACCTCGCCGGGACTGTTCCCTCTCGTCGGATTCGATGGATGTGGCGAGCAAGAGTCTGTTGTCTGTCCTGAGGGAGGAAGGCTTTTTCCAACGTCGAATCCAAGCGGGCTCCAATGAAGGTGAGCGTCTGTGTCGGGAGAAGAGAAGATTTCTCGGTACTAATACGTAGGCCTAGGCTATTGAGCAAGGCACAAGTTGTATGGATGGCCGCAAGGAGTCCTTCTCTGGACTGCTACACCAACAGCCAGTCGTCGAGGTATGGATAAATTTGTATGCCCTGGAGGCATAGGAAGGCACAGACAGGAGCCATGCACTTGGTAAAAACCCTCGGAGCCATAGCCAGTCCAAAAGGCAAAACTGTAAACTCATAAAGTTGGTTTGCAACCGCAAAACGAAGGAAACGCCTGTAACTTGGGTGAATTGAAATATGGAAGTAGGCGTCCTTCAAGTCCAATGAGGCGAACCAATCCTCTCTCCTTAGCAACGGCAAAATGTTTTGAAGGGTAGTCATACGAACCTTTTTTGGTACAATAAACTTATTTAAGTTCCGTAAGTCCAAAATTGGACGTAGACCACCATCCCGCTTAGGGACCATGAAGTATCTGGAATAGAATCCGTGGAGTCCATCAGATGAGAATACTCGACAAATCGCTCCTTTACGAAAAAGTTGATGTATTTCATCGAGCAGTACCGGTGAACATGAAGTGGACTGATCGGACTCAATGGAGGAACGATGTCGAATTCTATTCGATAGCCGTGCTGAACGATGGACAATACCCACCGATCAGATGTGATGGACTCCCAAATGGGGAGTCGGCTTCGAAGCCAATCCCCAGATGAGAGGGGGGTGGGTATTGGTGGAGCATGAGGAATAGTTCGCCAGTCCCATCAACGTTGCCTCCGATCGTCGAAACAACGGTGGCCTTGTTGCAAGTGTTGCTGGGGCTGAGGACGGCGGCGCTGCTGCTGCTGTTGCTGGCGGTGTTGTGGCTGCTGCCTCGGTTGATATGATTGCCTGTAGGATGGACGATTCCAGGACCACTTATGTCTGGCGTGGGACTGTATCTCCATCCTGCGTGCCGTCATCCTCAATTCATGCAGCTTCTTGAGCTTGTGGTCGGTGAGAGAATGGAAAAGCCCGGATCCATCAAAAGGCATTTCCTCGATCCGGCGCTTGGTTTCTTCCGGAAAATTACAATTCCAAAGCCATGCATGCCTTCGGAGAGAAACGGCACCGACCAAGGGCCGTGAGTCAGTATCCACGTGGTGCCTCGCCATGGATAACTGCTGCACCATGACCTGCATGGCTTCCTTAATCAGGAGTGACCACCTTCGCGAGGTCACCCTGGTGGTCCAGGAGGGTGGAGGCGACGTTGTGCAGGCGCTGCATAATAAAGTATTGATACCTCACCAACATCGCCTCGTAATTTGATATACGGAGCCCCAGGCCTGAAGCAGCGTAGACTCGCCTAGCCAGGGAGTCTATTTTTTGGCCCTCTTTATCCCTCGGTGCCGTGTGCCCTCTCGCCTCTCTGCCCTGCGAGGATTCAACGACCGCAGAGTTCAGTTTGGGATGTCAGAGGAGGAAGGGGATGTCCTCCTCCCGAACCCTGTACATAAGACTCATATCTCCTGGACGTCGGCTGAGGATGTGATGGCAGGTCCCAGGGCTGCGCCATTGCCTGCCACAAGGTGGTTATGAGCGGCAGGACGATGGATGTCAATTGCTCCCCGCGGACGACATCGTAGAACTTGTCCGTCATCGGTCCCGGGCGCTGGGCAGCGTCGATGTCCAGGGACTGGACAAGTCTGGACATCAGCTCCGCGAAGGAGACGTGGGACTCATCAGGTGACGCAGGACCTGATGGTCCGGAGAGGTTGAGTCGACCTCCGAGT